CCCTCGATTTTTCCTTGCTGCTGCATTGTCTAACCACAGCACAGCATTAGCTTTCCCTCTGTTCTTTACGACCAGGTCGTGTGTCAGCTCCAGCTGCGGCTGCTCCTGCATTTTTCATTAGCCTGCGCACCTCTTACTTGGCTGGCCAAGCTCCTTGGCTCTTGGCCCACCTGTCCGAACGCCGAGTGCCAGGACTACCCTGCCATCCTTGGTGTTGATTTCGCAAGTGCATTTCGCCTTTGATGCTGCGCAACTGTAGTCGTTCTCCTGCAGCGGCATAATCAGGTTGTACACGGGCCAAATCACTGGTCCATTGCCATCTGCCTCCTTGGCCATGTATGCTGAAGGGAACTTTACAGATTTGTTTTCAATTGCTTACGGAAAGATCAAGATGCGAGCTGAACATTTCAGGGTGCTGCAAAGAGCCAAGACTTGGGGAATAGAATATAATTTTATTCGATTGATAAAGCTAGCTGACCGAATAAACTGAATCAAGGTTATACTGCAAGGAAGAAACAAATATGAGAAAAACAACCCTCAATTCCTATCCATGAATACGGCTTACTTGTTTCAACGCATTTTTAAACCGTTAACCACAGTTTAACATCGTCCCTGGGCAGAAAAAAAAACCAATATAGCACTTGGGCAAACACAAAACAATCAGTTCTCAAACAATTAATGAGCTCGAATAAATGGCTGTCGATAATGGCCTATTTCTCCGACTCGCCTCTGGGAAATCGTCGACGAGAACATGTTAATTTTCGACGCCGCTGGCCAATTGCGGCAAAACAATTTATTGTTACACAATGAAAACCGAAATCAATGGCGATTATCACAATGGAAAAGGCTGAATCCTAACAAAGCCCATAGCCACTCTGCCGAAAGGGGGTTTACGCAGTAATTATCGTTAATTAAATGGGAATTATTGCGCCAGCGACATTATTAACCATGGTTACATGGTTGAGGTAAAAAATATTACAATGAACATATCGGAGTTGCTCTTCTCTCGGCACTGTTATACTCACATACGCTGCCTCGTTTGCAGGCTTCTTTCGATTTGCCATTAAAAAAGCATATTTGGCTTACTTTTCTGAGCCGAAATCGGAGAACAGCCTTGCGGCTCACTTACTTCCTTGCATTGGCTTCCGTGTCCTGTGTTCATTAGCGTTTTGTCGCCTCCATGCGCCAGACCCGATTGAGAGCATTTCCGACGCTTTGTTGTAATTTTTACAACATTTCTATTTTCCTATTTGTTGTTCGTTTGCTCGCATTGCGTGAGTTTTACTATTGGCAAAGGTTAGGCCACTGTTTTTACCATGGGAGAAGAAGCAGGGGTGCCAACGCTCTTATAAATAGCGAGTTCATCGATTGGCCATAGATATCGGCTGGCCCGGCGGAAAAGTCTGCGAAATATTCAACAATGGCAAAAGGTGAAAGTTTAATGAACACCTGGCGTGTGCGTATTCGCAAAAATATTTCCATTAAATAAAATGGCAAATATTTTCCAACTTCATCAGTAGAAAGCCGGATCAAGTTGTCAGGATTAGCCGAACGTCAAGGTCAGAGGGAGTTGTTAGTAGTAGTAGTAGTTTATCTAAAAAAATGAAATTAATTGCTTTAAAAATTGCTTAGATAAGTATAGATATATATTTAGATATTTCAAGAGCAATTGCCGAGAAATCCCTAACATTAAGACATTCTATACCCTCTGAAAACGTTGGCTTTTCAAGGTGATGTAGAATAACTTGTATCTTTTAAAGTGTCATTGAACTTTCTTGAAAATTAAGTACAAGAGTACGCATAAGTATGCCGTGAGATAATTATACCATATATATGGGACCTTGAAGTTTAAGCTTTTATTATACCCACCACTTGAGGTACATAAAAATCGGTTCCAAAATCACAAAGTCTTAAAAATAGTAGCTTAAATACTTACCTTTTTTGTTTCGCCACCATTAAGCGAAGACATTTCTCAGTTGGTTCTTAAATATTAGGTGAAATCAGCATGTTTTTTTTCACCCATTTGACCTCCAATGATCTAGAGAAACTCCACCACTTAGCCAAACACCTGACCTTTGGTGGAGAGCCAACGAAATATTTCGAGAGCCTCCCAGTGGAGGCGCTGCTCCACGTGTAACTTTGCCACTCTCAACTCTCTGGCGGCCTTCGGTGGACGAGACGCCTGGCTCTCCGTCAATCAGCGTCGCAAATTTTTGATTACACCTACATTAAGTCAAGGGCAGGACAACAGTTACAGTTTCAGTTATGTGGAGCAGCCGATCGATACTTCCTACCCGCTTCCCCCTTGTCCTTTCTGGCCCTTGCTTTGTGTGACTGCGATTTTGCACACGAAAAGCAAACGAAACCAGAAAACGTGGCTCTACATACAGAGTCCATCATGTTCACTTATATATACGCCAACTATACCGTCATATATATCTGTTGGATTTCCTTCCTCCCCGGTATATAGGCCACCCAGCGGGTATATGTATGTGTGTGTGTGCTTGTCGCTTTATTTGCCTTATTACTGACACGCAGCATATTTAGTAGCTGGCTTAGTGGCATTGCCTTGTTTATAGTCGCAGCTCTACGGAGCTGGATGGCTCCGCAACCCGAATCGGAATCGGGCCTCCCGGAGCCGTGAACCCTCCGCGCCGCCCCTGCCGGGTCGAGCCAAGTCGAGTCACTCATTAGCCTGTCTACGTGCTGGCCAGTCCTCGTGTGTATGCAAATGGGGCTGTGGGTGTGCACCTGTTTGCGTGGGCCATCGCGGTGCCCCTGTGTCTGTGCAACTTGAACTGACATTGACTTGTGTTTGTTTGCTTTGCGGCAAGTCAGGCAGAAACGAACGAAGTTTTCCTTAAAAAGGCAAATAAAAGTGAGCCAACATGAAGTATACGACACGTCGCTTTGGACATTGTCAACTTGGCAAATGGGGAAAACTACTGATTTGTAATGCTACGACCTTTCTTAAGAGCTTAAGTGGGGCTTTGAATGGAAAATGTACTAACTACATTTTAATATTTAAAATTGTTTTAACAGAATCTATTTTCTAGTTTTATATACCTACGGATTATGTGGTTAATAAACTGGTATTTGTTCTCTAAACTCACTCATAGACATTAGTATCAGATTTGAGTTTATGAAGGGTCTTTTAATTGGTGATCAGCATCTACAGAGAAGTCCATTTAGACACAGCTTCTAAGTTTTTAGATGGAAATTCTAATTCTAAATAATATTGCAAACTTATCAAATTTATAAAACATCGGTGCTGTCCATAAGTCTAGCATAAAAATTAAAATGTTTTGGTCTTTTGGGTCTTTGGTCTTTCAAACAACCGTTTTGGTTATATTTACTAATATTCTAATTTTTATAACTAATTGAAATATCCAATTGCAAATATATGCGCCTATCCGACAGCTTAGGGCTTTTTTGTGATTATACCGCAGTAATTAAAAATTATTTTTTTTAAAAATTAAATACAATTAAATACATAAAACAGGAAAAAAAAGCTGAATGACGAAGTTTTTATACCCTTGCAGTTTCGAGTCAAAATCGATTCATTTGATTTAAAAAGGTTTTTCGAGATTTTTAGTATTTAATTAAATTATTGGCAAAATGGTGTTTAGAAACCTTCTTTAGGGACTCACAATCAGACGGAAAAATTTAGTCTTTCTTTACAATACACAAAATAGTGTATTTAGATTTACCACAATGCTCTGATATAAAAATAATAACATTGACTTTATAACAATATTTTCGGATAATTTAAAGATTTCACATATTTCTTAGTATAAATATATCGAGCTATATAAGCAATAAATTTTGTTAAATTTTCATTAAATATTAGACATAATTTTTTAGAACAAAGTAAATTGAACAGATGTATGTTACAGAACATAGCAAAGTCTTATCAGCCAGGCTTCCAAAAAAATAATTTTAAAGTATAACAGATTCTGTATGACTTTAACGTTTAAAAATCCAATCTAAAATATTCAGATTTTAATCTTAAAATACACTTTAGGAAGATAAGATCTTGATTAACCATTAAATAAAATTAATAGTTATTCATCTTAAAATAGTTCTTAGGAGTTCAATAAAAGGGTCATGGGGAAGGGTCATGATAACAGCTTGAATGCTCAAGATTTTCCTAAGACGAAGGGGGTTCCTTTTGAAGTCATAAATCGAACATATTCTTTATAAATATACCGATACTGGACTTATTTTATTTACTGCATGTGGCTGCGCTAAACAAGTGATTTGCTATGCTGCGATTTTTTAACCCTTCAACTGAGGCATGCCGCGTGATATTGTTGGGAATAAAATAACCGAATACTTTTGACTTGTGTCTTGAAGTGTGCTCTCTTTCTGCTTAACTCCCTTCAGTGTTCTTGTTTTTCAGTTGATGTTCCATATTCCCGCTCCCAATTCTATCCGCCCCTCTATATATATCTTTCCCTCTTACTTGATGTTTAACCATATTTGATATCATTATCCTAACTGTTAACTGTTTAACTTCGAAGTGTGTTTATGCCTTTACCTAACCAACTTATTTTCCCGATTGGATGCCAATTATGTTTCCCATTGATGTTGTAATTGATGGCTAGAATACCGGTTCCCGGAGCCAGCGGTAAATTCAGTATTCAGTTAAAAATGAAATTTGATTGCTTTACACTAGACGTTACTCTTGTGATGAGTTGTATTGTATGCTTTTGAAAACTTAAGATCTTTAAATACGTGTACCCCTACCCGCAAACGAGAGACGATCTCACACAGCCCAACTAATCACTTAACTGTATATATTTTCTATGCATCTGCCCCACCGTCACCGCAAAACAATCAAACCCAATATCGCCACCGCAACCGCGACCACTGTGTGTTGTTGTCGTCGTCGCTTGGTGTTGGTCTCTGCGCTATCATGTCGTCGTTGTCACTCGGTATCGATCCCGAATCCGATTACGATCCCGACCCGACCCAACCCGAACTGACCCGACCAACAGTGCGCCCAGGGACGGGCCGCCTGGCTGGAGCGGGGCCGACGCTGCAGCGTCCAGGATCAGCAGCAGCAGCAGGCCACCTGCCACCGACGCTGGGTGAAGCGCAACCGAGTAAGTGCCACCACGTAGGAAACCTCACAGGACAAGTCTCCCGCCTGTACATACTACCAAACCCGAATCTCAGGCCCAGCGGCATTTCACCTTCACCAACTTCACCTGTACCTGTACCTCTCTACCCCCCATCACCGTCTCACCACTCTTTCATGCACCACTTTTCAAGTGTCCAGCGCATTCTCTGTCAGGCGAAGCAGGCAGAAAGTTTATACGTAGCAGTAGCAGCCCAGAATGTAAATTTTTTACTTTAAACTGCGACATTTAAAAGTATTTATTGATCGAAGTAAGAGCCTTGAAGCCTCCATAGGAACACAACTCTTGAAAGGCAGAAACAGGAACGCATTTTTCCCAAAACGTAACGCAACTTCTATTATTTTTTAAAGACTCTTTTATCAAATGCGATTTTGAATAAAGCTTTTTTATTCTAATATAAAAACGATTATAACGTTAGTTAAACTTAATAGAAAACCATTTAAATATTTCCGAACATTAATGCAAACCCTCCGAAATGTACCATTCTAGGAATATAAACATTCCAGCTTCTTTGAAGTTGGATTAAAACAAATATTACTTTGAAAACCATTTATATTTCGATTGATTACTGATAATATCCCCTTCCATTGGCAGATACAAGACGCCTCCTTGGGCGGCTCTTCGGACGACGAGGATTTCCTGGGCGTTCTACGCGGTCCCAGCACCTTTGCGAACGCCTTTCTCTACGTGGGCCTGGGCACGGTGGCGCTGGGCTTGGTCATCGCATTCGTGGGCACTGGGGAGAAAGGCTTCAAAACCGTGGAACTAAGACTTATAGGGCCCTCTCTCATAGGCAATAAAACTGTTGACTGAATCTCCCAGTATTCTTCTGTACTAAGAAATCTTTTCTCTGTAGGATTGGGTCTGATCTGTTGCATTTTACGCATCCTCTTCTGCATCTGCCCATCGCACTGCATCTCATCCAGCAAGAAGACGCGCAAGAAAAACTTCAACAAAATCGATGCGGATCACACCACCTCGCTGCTGAGGAACGAAAGCAAAAGGGTATCCATAGCGAGGGGACCCAGCATTCAGGTGGGAGTTGTTATGAAGTTCTAAAGCGTCTTAAAGATTTGATTTTCTAAACTAAGTATGTCGGTAGATAAAGTTAAAATTTAAGCGATGGAATTAAATTAAGTAAATTAATGTTTTTCGATAAGCTCAGGGGATATATTCAGGCCTGCTCCGGTAATCGTAAAATTTTTTCGATTTCGTTTTGGGCGAAAACGAACCGTTTTCGTTTTTAGCTGCTCCGGTTTTCGGCAAATTTCTGCTATCGGATGTTTCGTTTTCTCATCGTTTCTCACTGCTCAAGCAGCTAACTTGTGTTGTTGGTAATAAGCAAACAACGTAAAGTACTGCCTATTATATTTACAATTGCCCTTTATCTAAGCCAGAAAAAGGCAAAAAATGGTAGAATTAAGCAAATCCAGGCACCTAAGATGCTGCCACACTTTTCACAGTTTTAATTCCGGTGGTCTCAAATAATTATTTGGTTAATTTGGACCATTTAAGTAATCACATTAAATAGCATTAATTATAATTTTTTTGGCGGTCCTTTAAAGTTATTAATGTATTCATTTATATTTTATAAGTATTTTTAACTGGCTGTTTCGTTCCACCAACATAATGGCAACCTTGGCGATAACTTTTTGCGGTGAACTTATCGACCTATCGCCAAACCGAGAAAACTGGTTGAACACGGCAAAAATTTTGTTGTCAAATCTGAGGTGGGGTCAGAAATAAATTTTTTATAAAATAACTACCTCCCAGAATGATCTTGTGGTGGTGTGGAATAAACATCAATAGACCACTGAGTAAACAATTTTTTTCCTTTTGTAAATAAGATCTGATTTCATATAAAAAAAGCCATTTACTTTTCATTCCGGCCAGAAAAAGGTGCCCGTTTTTCAAATCGAAAAAATCTTTCGATTTCGATTACCGGAGCACCAATTTCTCGTTTTCAAAAACGAAAACGAAAAATTCTTGCCGTTTTCGATTACCGGAGCAGGCCTGAATATATTTAGAAGGGCGTTAAATAGTCATTGATGTTATTATCACTAAAAACTGGTTTAAAATTTTTATTCTTAAGCTAAGATAAGTAATGATTCTTGGTTTTTTGATAACAATGTCTCTGAGCAATGGTCTAAATAGGGGTTATGACAATTTGGCAGCCCTGGACTGGCCTTAATTCCGACCTTTTCCGAAGGCATACGAACGGTTATATTGTTGATGTGACGCCATAGGTCCGGCAGTGGAATAAACTGACGTTGTTCAGTGCTTAGACCATTGTTCCAATAAAGTTGACCACATTCTTATAGGTTCAGCGCTGAATAAGTTAGTTTTGAATACATAAATACTATATATACTATACCTTTCATACAAGTTTTCACCAAATCCTTCTCTATCTATACTTTATGTAGGCCAAATATCCAATAGCGCACAAACGGAGCCAGAGCAAAATGCTCAACGAGGGAATGGAGGCACTCCGTCAAATTGCCACCACATCATTGTTTATGCAGAATGAGCAGAAGACTGCCATTAATCGCGTAGTACCGATCATCAATGAGCCGGAGAGCGGTGGTAAAAGCAAGCTTAGTACTAAGCACGAAACTTTATATATATAATACTTAAAATTACCCTTAAATACGACATGAATACTAACTAACAGCTCTCATTTTCTGTTCAGATGCTCCACTGGAGATGAAGAAACTGCAGACAGCTCTCAATGCCTGCGAGATGAGCGACGAGGAGCATGACCAAGAGGAGCAGCAGCAGATTGCCAAACCTACAACAGCCACAACTGCCGTAACGATTAGTACCACCAAAGACCCGACATCAGCAGGAGCAGGAGCAGGAGCAAGTGCACCTTCGAGAGTAACGAGAGCCACCACACTGAGTACCGTAGACGAGAAGCCCGACAGCAAGCTGGTGAGGCAGCGAGTGACCCTGCAACAACAACGCTCGCAGCAGCAGCAGAAGCCGGACCATATCTCCAAGTCGCAGTCGCTGTCCTCCTCTTCCACAATCAGGGACTCGCTGGACGGCGTCGTGGTCGAGGAGGAAACATCCCTGATAGATGCCGGCAACAATGTCACAGCGGCATCTGCTGCAGCTCCAGCTGTGATACCAGGCAGCTGCAGCACTGGAGCGATACCCAGATACCCCACGCGGACGGGCCAGTCCACGGGAGCGCTCAAGACGACAACGACTACGACATCGACAACGTCGACGTCGCCATCGACGACTACAACGACGACTTCGCCCACCATCACGGCGCGGCTGCCCACGTCGCAGTCGCACCCCATCAGCTACGACCTGCCCCCGGCCCTGCCGCACACGTACTCCGCATCGGCAACAGTGCGCGGACCGCTGGGCATGTCCATGAGCAGCTCCGCGTACGCGATGCCCATCAGCAAGGTGGGCGCCACTGCCGCCATGCCGCCCACCACCACAACGATCAGTCTGCTGCCGCTTCCGGCGCCGCCGACGATGGCCACCACCACAATGGCGGCGGCCAGCATTCCCGGCCAGGTGCCGGAAACCAGCGGAGCCAAGAGTCTGAGTCTGAGCTTAATGCAACCCATGCCGGCGCTGCGACCAGCCACGGCGTCCGGCCTGTCGACGGCATCGTTCAGCACACAACTGGAGCACAAGTCGCATCCCTCATCCGCCGGGTCGACGATGGGGCGTGGCGGCAGGTTGCAGGCACCGCCCTCAGCGATAGGGACAGCGGCGTCGACAAGCAAACTCGAGCCTGAACTGGTGCTCAGTCCGGCTAAGCTAGGCCAATAGAATAATGGGAATTAGTTTCGATCTTACTTAGTTAGCCGCCAGGTCATGTACATGTCTAGGTTCTATGCGCGAGTGTGAGTGCGACTGACTGGGTGTCTGTGCCATGTGTGTGCTAGAGTGAAAGGGTATTACGTAGGACGGGAACGAGAGAGGCGTGCCCAAAGCTATCTTTTAAATGTGCCACTAGAAAAACTAAGAGAACTAAAACCACGCCCAAAACCGAAACTCTAAAAAAAGGGGGTCATGTTCTGACTCAGTTCCCTACAAAATCATGATTATGATGCATGAATCCCATGTGGAAACCATCAAAAGTCCACTTCTCGGCTCAGAACATGACTTATTGTTGTTTTTTTAAACAAAGTTGTCTGTGTACCTGTAAACTCCCCCTAGGACTTACCTATGTTATCGCTTATCCCCAGATTCCTCAGTACGTTTTTCGGATGTTCCATCCACTCTGCAGCTACCCGCTTATTACTTCCGACTGTCCGACCTGTTCCTCAGGCTTCAGGTGGCATAACCATCGCCCAAGTGCTCAGCAAATACAGCTATACCAAAATCATAGCCAGGGTATTATAAAGTTTGTATTCCAAACATATCGTTAACGAAATACATAAACCAATGTAACACTTAATGTAATAAAGAGCCAAACAAGAAACCTAATGCGAAGACGGCACGCGTCCGAATTGTCAAAGAAAACCAAAAACAAAATCGAAAGAATATGGCTACAAAACCAATTAGATATATATCCAACGATGTATGCGTCCACTAGACACCAGCAATGTCAGACAGCTAAATACCCAAATATAAATGTACCAGTATGCATGGGAGCGTGTTTCTGTTTAACTAATTCCAATCATAAGTCCACAAAGTTCAAAAAGTATTAGGTACTGGTGCCCGCGTCCTTGAAGCAAGCCTTGAAAACCCGTTAATAAATAAATTACCAGCTCTTATGTTTTGTTATTGTTGTGTCCTGTTTTTTTGAAAATGAGCTTATCTTAGCTATCAAAATAAATTTGGAACAAGTTCAAATAAATAAAAATTAAAGTATTTTATCATAAAAGTCAATTTGGACCTTATGACATTTCAGATTATTTTGAGATAACAAACTAACCCTTAAACACTTCACAAATGATTGTCCTTAGAGTGAAAGTCGACTTAAAATTCTCATTTTTAAACAAATTTAACGAACAATTTAAAATATTTCATTAATGTAAGCGCTTGCTCCTTGAACCGGAAAGTCACCCAGAAAATTACGACGTCTAATAAAAAGAATAAAAATAAAATAACCGGAACCATAATGTTAGGTATGGCCATATAACTACAAGAAAAAGAACCGCAAATAAGCAGATGTAACATCCTTAAAGGGAAATGTGTAAGGTGCAGGTACAGCAACCAAAGAAGCAGAAAGCCATAGAACAAGAGAAAAAAATTATGAATTAGTATGTATGAATGTATACTATATGTGCAGAAATTAAAATTAAATACAAAAGAAGATATTCGTGTATATTATTTGGGGATGGTAAAGAATGACTTTACTAAAAGTTTAATGACTTAGGTAAAATAAACTTAAACGAATCATTATTGTTATTAAATGGTTTAATACAAATATTTCTATAGTTTTAGTTTTTGTAAAATTTTAAACATAAACAACATTTTGTAAGCGGCAAGACTTCATATAAAAACAAGAAAGAAAGTTAAGTTCCACAGATTGTAATTGGATCATTACGAATTACGGAATCTATCAGGAGATAATTAAAACATTTATTTTCATTACGAATGTCGCGTGCGACATTATGGAAATGCCCATATATTTATTAAACCATAATCGTATAGTAGTGAGAACAGTCAGAAACTATAAGCAAAGTTTCACTTAGACATGGCTCGAACCGGCTCGGATGACAGCTACCACAGGAACGATCGAAAGCACTTTAGAAAAAAATTATACTCTCGATGTTTTTCAAACATTTTGTATTATTTTTAGAGTTTCAATTGGAATTTTATGAATATCGGACGACTATATCATATATCTGCTTTTAGAATGATCGGTAGAAAAATCTAAAGGTGTTATTGTACAGCTGTAAATATAAAAGGTAAATGTAATAAAACTTCATATTACATTGTTTTTGTTCAGCTTAAATATCTTTAATTTAAATTATATTATTTCTAACCAAAAATATACAGGCATACTCTGGTTTTAATTTTTTTTATTTCGTTCAAGTTTTGAGATGATTCACGTGATTTCGTTATTAGCAGTACGGTTATTACTCACTGCTTTCACACATAAAGTAATTTTATTTTCATTTTGACACGTCAAAAGTGCTCGTTTTCGAACTAAAAAAATAATAAAGAAGTAAAAACGGGAGCACCTTGTAAGGATGCTATGGCAAGGATAATGACTCAGTCGGCCCAGGAGTCCTCTACAGAAAATATTTATAATTTTACGGAGACAGGCAGGAGAAAAGACGGGCCCGGAACCGAACTCTCTTGCCCGTTTGGCGAAAGGGGTTCCGGCGGACAGCAGATGCGTCGGGGTGTGGCAGGATTCCTGCCCAGCTTGGAGCTGTGCCCGCGTCTGCGTGGGCTTGGCATTGGGTGCTCTCTGGGCGAGCGTGTGGGTGTGCAGCCATGCGATGCCTCTGGGCGTGGTGTTCTTGTGGAGGGTCTTCCGGCTGTGTATCTGGTGGTAGCCTGGGTGGCGATGCGGGCTGCGGCTCAGGATGCACCCTGGCGGTGGCTCCGGCCGTTTCCTCTGCGTCCGTGGTTCGTGTGCTCGGGGGTGCGGGTGCTCGGGCCACGGTGTCTGTGGGGTGTGTATCCATGTTGCTGCTCCGTGGTAATGTGGTTGCGCACTCGCTGAGTGCCGAGTCTGCTGCGCTGGTCTCCGTGGCTCTGGGTTGAGTGGGTGGCTGGAGCTTGAGAGTTTGGCCGCCGCACTGTAGTGTAGCCCCGCTGTAACATAGAAAGTCCGAGTAGGAGGCCATCCAGCACATCTGCCATGATGAGAACAGAGATGCGGACGCGGGTCTCTCCCAGCTGGATCGTGGTTCGTAGAGCATGCGTAAGCTCCCTGTCGGTTCCGTCTGCTAATTTTACTTGTGTCCGTACTGCGCGATGGTTCCTCCCGTCGTCCAGCTCTTGTGCCAGGCGCCTGCTTATTAAGCTATGGGAGGCTCCCGTATCCAACGTCGCGGTGAAGGGTCGTCCCTCCATGGTGACTTGGGCGCGAATACGGCTGTGGTCTTGGATGATGGCGTTGTTTACTGGCTCGGGGAGGTCGGTGGGCTCCTCGAGTGATTCCCGGATACTCGAGGCCCTTGCTCGTTTCCCGGCGCTTGGTTCCGACAGCAGTCGATGGTCCTGATCCTGGTCTGCGTCCCGTCGGTTCGATGAGTATCCCCGAGTCGCTCGCTCTCCTCGGCTCCAGGCGACTTCGAAGTTCACCACCAGGTGGGTGAGCTCGGTCAAGGTCCTGAAGTCATGGAGGCTCGTAAACATCTGGTATTCTGGCAGCATGTTCTCATATATCCGCTCAAGCTCTTGCTCGGGTGAGAACCCTGCTCGGCGTATCTTCAGGCGAAGATCGACGAGGTATTGTTTAAACGGCTCGTTCGGCTTCTGGAAGTGGGCTCGGATTTCGTCGCCGAGGCGTTGATAGTACCTAGGCGGTAGAAAGAAATCCAAGAACTCTCGGCGTACTTGTGCCCAGGTTCCTCCCTGCAGGCCACTGGTGCGAAACCAGCTCTCCGCTCTGCCGGATAGAAGCACGACGATGGCGTTGGATAAATGCTTCCTATCGATCCGGTATGTGTCTGCCCGTTCCTCGATAAGTTCCACGAAGCTGAGCGAGTCCGAGGTGCCATCGAAGGACAGCCCCCACTTGGTGATCTTGTCCACCAGCATGGAGCTGGGGTTCACGTCGAACTGGGAGGTCCCACCGCGTGGAGATCCCTCGGATTTCCCGCGTGATACTGGTGCTGGCGACGTGCTGCGGGGCACTGCTAAAGTATGATTCGTGGCCTGAACGGGTGGGGCGAAGATTCCGGCAAATGCCTCATGAGCTTGCGGCAATGGTGACTTCGGCTTTATGTCTCCCGTCGGGGAGTTTCCGTAGCGTAGCTCCATCTCGTCGAGTCGAACCTGAACTGCGTCGGGGAGCTCTGGTTGTCGCGCGAAAGCTATGAGTCGCGCCCGCTGCTCTTCAACCGTACCGGCGCGTTCTAAGCCAAACTCGAGCAGGATGGCGTCGAGTTCGTGCTTCTTCCGGTAGGATATCCAGGTGACACCCATTTTACCGGCGGTTGAATCTCCGCGGCGTATGCTACCGGTCGCGAAATCTGTCGTAGCGTAAACGACGATAATCGAACGGGGTTCCGATTCTGGACACGTGGCTGAGGCGGCTCGCCAATTGTTCGCGGCACGTCTGGTGCTAGAAATGTTGTTCGACGCGTGTCTTGGCAGCGATCGCGAAGGAAGATCGGGAAGCCCGTTCGCGTATCAAGATCGAAGGCGCGGGAAGGGAAGCGTATCCCTGAAGCGCGGAGATGCACGGCCGAGGTCCTTGAGTGGCTTGGTTTAGCTTCGTAGCGATGGTTGAGGGTCCTGAACCCTGATCCTGGAGCGTATCCCTGTTGTAGTACCCTGTTGATGATGCTCAAGGACCCTTGAGGTTTCCTTGGAGTCGAGTGGGGGTCCTGGCGTATCCTGTCGTATGTCCTTGAAGGATCCCTGAAGTATCCTTTTGGTATGTCCTGGCAGGATGCTGGCGTTGTCCTTTGCTATGTCCTTGCAGAATGCTGGCGTTGTCCTTTGCTATGTCCTTGCAGGATGCTGGCGTTGTCCTTCGTAGCGTTGATTTAATTTTCTCCTTGATGTTAGCTCTCGTAGCGTTGGTGATCGACTGATCTCGATGGCGTGGCAGCGAAGATTTATATACTTGAAGTTCGGCTGACTTCGGGCTTCCTGCCGGTAAGAGAAACCTTTCGTGCGTCGGGATAGGAAGGCTAGTTTTCTGCTCTCGTGGACGCCGGCTGCGGCGTCGACGACGTGTTGTACTCCGCTTCGGCGGCTCTCTCTCTCTGGACATGTGTTTGGCTTTTCTCTCGTGTGTACTCGTCTGACGTCGTGGAATCGTGGTCTCGGCTTTGCGTTGTGTGCTTTGCGTCGTGTGCTTTGGTCGGTTCCTAGCGTGTGGTTCGTATTCATATTCGTCAGGCGTCGTAAAATTTCTTCGTGGCTTGTTCGTCTGGCTTCGTTAAACTTTTCTTCCACGTGGCTTTGCGTTTGACTGTACTTTTACGGCGGCGGCTTTGTCTGCTGTTGCTATGCGGCATTTTTTTTTTCTAAATTCTCGCCCATTTTTTTGCCGTATACTTCTCTTCTACTTTTCCCGCTTCGGTCTCTGCGGCCTAGCAACAGAAATGTTTTTTTCTAAGTTTTCGACCCTAACCTCGACCTTTCGACGTGAATTTTTTCCTGGTGGTGCTTTAAGCCACTTTAGATGGAATTATCCTTGAATTATCCTGCCTAGTCCCTGCTCGGGCGCCATTCTGTAAGGATGCTATGGCCAGGATAATGACTCAGTCGGCCCAGGAGTCCTCTACAGAAAATATTTATAATTTTGCGGAGACAGGCAGGAGAAAGGACGGGCCCGGAGGCCGGTATGTTTATTTGGGTGCAAAAAGGGGCAGGCGATGGTCAGGAAAACCCCGAAATCCGGGCAACCGGCTCCGCAAGCCGTAGTCCGATTGCCAGATCCGGGACGAAGGCGCATCTTCCGAAGTCGGCCCGATCCCGCAAAGCCGGGGTACCGGTGTTCCCTGATCTCCGAATGAGCGGCCCGAAGAGAGAGCTACCGGCCACGCAGTGCCATGTGCCGGCCGCCCTGGGTTCCCGAGAAGGGATGTCGAAACGGCGAGTCGATCCCGCAGGCCGAATACCGCCCCGCCGCCT